TAGTGACAAGTAGGACAAGAACCCAGAATTATAACTCTGAATCCAGGGTTATTTCCATGGTGCCTGCCCCCATTCTCAGCCAGCTCACTCACTCCACAAGGTGCCCATCACCAAATTCTTCACTGCTGTAAGAGAGTTCTTACTCATTGACCACATCGCTTTGTTTGCACAGAATAGTCAAAGAATCTGTTAGATAAAAATAAAAATAGAAAAATATATATGTGCTTATATTCTTATGAAAAGTTATACAGCTAGGTATTTGCAATTCACAGTTTTAGATGTGATGCGTTGCTCAAGATAAAAATCCTGGCCAGGCGTGGTGGCTTATGCCCGCTATCCCAGGACTTTGGGAAGCCAAGGCGGGTGGATTGCTTGAGCTCAGGAATTTGAGACCAGCCTGGGCAACATAGTGAAAACCCATCTCTACTAAAAATACAAAAAATAATTTAGCCAGGCATGGTGACACATGCCTGTGGTCCCAACTACTTGGGAGGCTGAGGTGGAAGGAACACTTGAACCTTGGAGGTGAAGGTTGCAGTGAGCCGACGTCATGCCACAGCACTCCAGCCTGGGTGACAGAATGAGACTTTGTCTCCAAAAAAAAGTCTGCTTATGCTTGGCTTTAGTGCCCTACTGCCTTTGCCAACATGAGCCCTGGTGAGGAAGCCATCTGATAATCAGTTAAAAATAACAAGCAAACTCCAAGAGTCTAGTGGAAAAAAAAATAGCATTCCTCTTTCTGGGAAGTGGCGGTTACCATTTGAACTATAACATTCCTGCTACTAACAACTCTGAATAAACTATTAGAGCAGACGTTTATTCTTTCTGACTTACACTCACCTTCCCAATTTTATTACTATAACATCATGAGCATCGGCATTAATCTCTTTCCATGTCAAAGAGCCTAGAAGTTTTCAATACTGGCCCTTTCTTTAGTCTTCGATCACTGACCTCTTTCACACTAGTATCCATGAACCCATGTATCGTAGTAGTTATCCTTCCATTTCTTTTGATTTGCAAATTTTATAAAATAGATTTCATTTGTACATTGTTCAGTCTACTGCATATCTAGTCACAGCTAAGCCCTTTGCAAAAACCATAAAAGAAGTAGGAAATACAATACTATCTGTCTGATTGAAGTCTTGAAAGACAAGATACATTCAAAAAGGCACTTGTTATGCACTGAATGTTTGTGTCTCCCTCAAATTCATATGTTGACACCCTAACTTCCAATGTGGTGGCCGTATTTAAAGATGAAGCCTCTGAGGAAGTAATTGAAGGTGAACGAGACCTTATGCATAGAGCCTTGATACAATAGCATTGGTGTCCTATAAGAAGAGACACCCAGAAAAAGAAAAAAAATGAAAAAGGCTGGGTGTTGTGGCTCACTCCTGTAGTCCTAGCACTTTGGGAGGCCGAGGTGGGTGGATTACCTGAGGTCAGGAGTTCAAGACCAGCCTGGCCAACATGGTGAACCCCCACCTTTAAAAAAAAAAAAAAAGAAGAGACACCAGAGAGCTGTCTGTCTGTCTCTCTCTTTCTACCATATAAAGGCACAGGGAGAAGGGAGCCATGTGCAAGTCAGGAAGAAAATGCTCACCAGTAACCAACCATACCAGCTCTTGATCTGAGACTGTTAGCCTCCAGAACTGTGAAAAGAATACATTGCTGTTGCTTAAGTTTCTCAGTATATCTTGTTTGTTACGCTAGCCCAAGCTAACTTTTACAGCTTAAAGAAAAAATATATGACAACCCATGGAGAGCTAACTAGATCACATAGTGTACAATGCAATAAATAAATAACAAATAAGAGAAGTAAAAAGTGATTTGGGCTAGTATTCCTCAGCATAAAAACTACGATGGATTTGATTGACTTTTTAAACTTGAAAGTATTGCATGATTTGGATTGCAAAAACCAGCGACACAAACGGTGAATTACAGGTATAGTCACATGACCTTGGTTTCAGAAAGATAACATGGAGTCATGAAGGGAAAAAGAGGAGGCTTTGGACTCACAGAGATTTGGGTTCAAATTCAAGCTTGGTGTCTTCCTAGCCACAATAATAGTATTACTATTACAGGCCAGGTGCAGTAGCTTACGCCTGTAATCCTAGCACTTTGGGAGGCCAAGGGTGTGTAGATTCCTTGAGCCCAGGTGTTCAAGACCAGCCTTGGCAACACGGTGAACCCTTGTCTCTACCAAAAACAGAAAAATTAGCCAGTTTCATAACCTGGTCTGAAAATAAATAAATACATACATTTAAAAAATAATAGTATTACTATTACATTGCAAAACCCACAGTTACTTTTGCACCAACCTGACATTTATCATTTGAAAGCCTGTTTTGTGCCAAGTACAATTTTACAAGCATGATTTCAATGAATCTATCTTCTTTCCTTCCTTCCTTCCTTCTTTCCTTCCTTCCTTCTTTCTTTCCTTCTTTCCTTCCTTATTCCTTTTTTGACGGAGTCTCGCTCTGTCACCTAGGCTGGGGTGCAGTGGCGCAATTTTGGTTCACTGCAACCTCTGCCTCCCTGGTTCAAGTGATTCTCCTGTTTCAGCCTCCTGAAAGTTTGGATTACAGGCACATGCCACCATGCCTGGCTAATTTTTGTATTTTTAGTTGACATGGGGTTTCACCATGTTAGTCAGGTTGGTCTTGAACTTCTGACTTCATGATCCACCCATCTCGGGCTCCCAAAGTGCTGGGATTACAGGCGTCAGCCACTGCGCCCAGCATCATTGAATCTTTCAAACAACCTTGCTACTCACTGCCTGACACACAGTAGAAACTCAGCAAATGTTTGCAAATGATTGAGTACTAGAGTTTGATTCTCATTTTTTTCTACGTGGAACATAAAGCTCTGAGAAGTTATATGACTGGCACAAGGCCACATGGCTAACAAGAACAGAACTACGATTTGAACAAAATCTGTTCAATTTAAAAATGGGGATAACATTTTTCTTGGTTGGTGTGTGGGGTAAGCAAAATACTCTGGCTAAAGATTTAGCACAATGCCTGGCAAACAACGAGTGCTTAAATAAATATTAGAACAAAACATCTCACATCAGATAAACTGATATGAGATGAATAAGGAACAAAAGGGAAAGCAGTAGCACAACTATTTTTAGATTTTCAAGAGTTTAAGGGAACGTGTTTAGAGTTGATAGAACCTCAAATGACCCATGGAAAGCAAATATTTAATGTGATGTTTGCTTTCATGCTCAGCCGTGGCCACTCTTACTTAGTTTTTTCTGCCAACAATTTTAATCCTAAGCAAAGAGAGACAACTAAATGACTTTTCCTGGAATAGTCTTCATTTTTCATACTGAATAGTTTAATAATATTTTCTGTTGTGATAGGAGATGTTATTTGATACCCCTGATACATATAACACCTTAATAACTCTTTGAGATGTTGAATCAAACCATAAGCTTTTTCTAAACAACCTAAATACTCATCACTTGGAGAACTGATATAGTAAATTATAGTATTTCCATCCCAATGATATCATGCACCCATAAAAAGAATGAGCTCATTTATATGTACTGATCTGGGAAGATGTTTATCATATATTCTTAAGTAAAAAAGTAATTGCCGGAAAAACTCTAATAGTGAAATTCTAGTTTTTGCAAGAAGAAAACTGCATGTGATGTATACACTTATAAATGCACGGAAGCAAACTATGCAAGAGAATATAGTAAACCACAGAGAAACATTTCTGCTGGAGAAGAGAGTACGGTTAGAAGGGCATTTGAAAGGAAACGTACTCCTTTTTGCTTTATATACACCTGAATTTTGTATTCATTAGTAGTGGTATTTTTACTGTATGAGATGAACATAATTATTTTTACTTAGTATTCCAGTTTAAATCTCAATAGGGATTACATCAAGATAATGGCATCAGCATGCCTATATAATTTAACACCCAAAACTCCACTGGAATGACAGAAAATAACCTTGAAGAGTGCTACAAAGCAACATGGGTTACCCTAAGTGCACTATATTATCTTGAGAAATTCCTGAAAGAGAAAAAGCGGTAGAGAAGCACATGGACAGAAGAAAGCTATCACAAACGTGGTATCAGTAACACTAACAATAATCTAACATTTAGGAAGTTCAGCAGAGGTTCCACAGTAATCCCCAAAGCACCAAAGAATCACATTTGGAAGAGCTACATTAGTAGGGTCCAGTTCCTTGCTCCTTTGCCACGTTGGAACAGAAGGAAACAAAGGTTTTTTGCCTCTAGATTATTGCTCTAACTTCTTTCCAAATAAAATAAGAAGGCCTCTAGTTTGTGAATTCAAGCTGGAGAGGAGCCCTAGGTAAGCCAGGGTCTACCCAAGGGCCTGGGAGTGGGGAACACACCGGCGCAGCTGCCTTCCTTTCCTTTTGCATAGCATTTGTTACTAAGATAAAAACCTTCGCCGGGCGCGGTGGCTCAAGCCTGTAATCCCAGCACTTTGGGAGGCCGAGGCGGGTGGATCACGAGTTCGAGAGATCGAGACCATCCCGGTCAACATAGTGAAACCCCGTCTCTACTAAAAATACAAAAAATTAGCTGGGCATAGTGGCACGTGCCTGTAATCCCAGCTACTCGGGAGGCTGAGGCAGGAGAATTGCCTGAACCCAGGAGGCGGAGGTTGCGGTGAGCCGAGATCGCGCCATTGCACTCCAGCCTGGGTAACAAGAGCGAAACTCTGTCTCAAAAAAAAAAAAAAAAAAACCAAAAACAAACAAAAAAAAAACCTTCAATAGGCAATTCTTAAAAAAAAAAAAAAAAAAGTATTTCCACAGGTTGTTGGGGGAACAGGTGGTGTGTGGTTACATAAATTCTTTAGTGGGGATTTGTGAGAGTTTGGTGCACCCATCACCAGAGCAGTGTACACTGAACCCAATTTGTAGTCTTTTATCCCTCACCCTCTTCCCACCCTTTCCCCTGAGACCCAAAAGTCCATTGTGTTATTCTTTTTCTTTTTCTTTTTTTTTTTCTTTTACCTATGTGTCCAAGGCAGGAATCAGGCATGTGCACAGATCAAAAGCCAAGCTGGGATGAACAAGGGGATGCTTTGTCCCTGGCTATGAGATGGGCACCACCAACCAGATGCCAGATGTCACTCTACCCAGGTCAGGGACATCTTTTTTTTTTTTTTTTTTTTTTTTTTGAGATGGAGTTTCACTCTGCCCCTCAGGCTGTAGTGCAATGGCATGATGTTGGCTCACTGCAATCTCTGTCCTCCCAGGTTCAAGCGATTCTGCCTCAGCCTCTCAAGTAGCTGGGACTACAGGCGAGCGCCACCGCCCAGCTAATTTTTGTATTTGTAGTAGAGATGGGTTTTCGCCATGTTGGCCAGGCTGATCTCGAATTCCTGGCGGCAGGTGATCCGCCCACCTCGGCCTCCCAAAGTGCTGCGATTACAGGCGTGAACCACCACCCCCAGACCCTCTCTACTGGCTCTTTTCTCTCGGCGTGTTAAGAATGTTGAAGGCTGTTTCACAGGAAACAACAAAAGCCTTCTCTCAGACTCGTTTTCTTCAAGTGATCCTTCTCTCTTCTCTTTCAACAACAAGTTTCTAAGAGTAGACTTCATTTGATTTCTGGTTCCTGTTTCAGTCCCAAACCTATTGTAGTCAATGAGTTGTTGCTACCATTTCACTGACATTGCTCCTTCTAAGATCACTAATGACTTCTCCAAAACTAAAAAACAATGGAGACTTTTCCGTCTGAAACTTACTCGATTTCCCTGGTGCATTTGGAATTGTTGGTCACTGTCTCAGAGTTGTTTTTCTCTAGTTTTAAAAAATATCTCTTTGCTGGGCATGGTGGCTCACGCCAGTAATCCATCACTTTGGGAGGCTGAGGCAGGCAGATCACGAGGTCAAGAGATAGAGACCATCCTACTACAAATACAAAAATTAGCTGGGCGTGGTGGCGTTCGCCTGTAGTCCCAGCTACTCGGGAGGCTGAGGCAGGAGAATCGCTTGAACCCGGGAGGCAGAGGTTACAGTGAGCCGAGATCCCACCACTGCACTCCAGCCTGGCGACAGAGCAAGACTCTGACTCAAAAAAACAAACAAACAAACAAACAAACACACACACACACACACAAATCTCTCTTCTCACTCATTTAAGCACTTTTATTTTTTGCCTCATACTTAGATTTTATTTATTTATTTGTTTTTCCGGAAGCTCTTTCTTGACAACTTAGATGTTGCTGTTCTGCAGGGATCCCGTTTTTAACTCTATGTTCCATTTGTTGACATTAACTTTTGTTTCATTCAACAGGTTTTCATTCATAAAGACCTCTCTCTGCTTCCATCTGTTTATTTAATTTGGCTGTAAAATAATTTTGCAGAATTTGGACTTTTTAATTTGAGGGTTTCTAAATTCAGAGTTGTCTTACTGCATGTTTATTGTTCTCCTTTGTACAGTGAATATATTCATTGGCTTCAGCGTATCTACATATAGCCTGAGCTGCTTATGATTTCTTACTGTCTCTTATATTTTTGGGAAATCCATTCTCTCTATTTACACATATAGAAGTTCAATATAAATTCATTAATTTAACAAATGTTTTAAGCATTATAATTTTCAAGAACTTGTCCAGGCATATATGATATGATTCATTACTATCTCTTGGAACTTTTCTATCTTTTCTTTTTATATACGTCAATGAAAAACTGTAAATGATAAGAGATTCAAGAATTTTCCATGGTACCTACTAGGGGGAGGCCATTGTCCTCTGACAAACTCAAACTCCCCTCTAAAGGGGATAAAGGCAGCTGTGTAATCCAGTCTGGATGACAGCATGGTTTGACGTACATTACAAAAGATTGCCCTTCGTCAGGGTGACACAGCACAGAGGCAGGGCACGCAGCCTGGTGAGCAGAGCATGGCCTGATGTCAGCGTCCATTGTTCCCTCAACAGAACACCGTTGTGCCGGTTCATAATGACCCTATCTACAATAAGACTTCAGCCTACAGCCTGACCAGCATTCCTTCCCTTTAAGACCCCTAAGATCTAGCCATGCTGGACAACCCTGGTGCCCCATTCGCTCTTGCCCCTACATGTATGCTCATTATATTTCCTCTGCTTGGAAATACAATCTCCATTCTAACATGGTTTAACAATTTAACCTACTTTGTTTTTAGAACCTATACTGACTCCTTAAAGTTAGCTTTTCCTTTTCCCTTAAAGCAATGCTGTTTTCTGCTTATTATCATAAATCACATTCTTTTCATAGTTTGGTGTCTTGTCTCTTCTAGGAAACTTGAAGCCTCTGGAGGGCAGAGATGATGTCTTTTCCTTTTCATATCTTCTTTGAAACTTACATAACACAATTGAGGTCTGTTGAGTTCCTACATGGATATCTCAAACTTAATTACAGGAAATGAGTTGACATTTGTAAAATGCTTAGCCTGGTGCCTTGCACTGAGTAAGTGCTATACAGGTGTTTCTTTTTCTTATTCTTTTTTTGAGACCGAGTCTTACTCTGTTACCAGCCTGGAGTGCAGTGGCGCAATCTGGGCTCACTGCAATCTCTGCCGCCAGGGTTCAAGTGATTCTCCTGCCTCACCCTCCCACGTATCTGGGACTACAGGCACGCACTGCCACACCCAGGTAATTTTTTCTTTTTTAAGTAGAGACCAGGTTTTCACCATGTTGGCCAGGATGGTCTCTATCTCTTGACCTTGTGATTCATCCACCTTAGACTCCCAAAGTGCTGGGATTACAGGTGTGTAATCTGGGTCACTGCACCCAGTTCCAGGTGTTTCTTAAATAAAATGAAAGGATGATAGGAGATAAGCTTGAGTTTGGAAGGACCATTGTTATAATTAATGAAAACTGGGTCTATAATTTATTAATAGACTCGGAGACACTTTCCTCTTTATCACCAGACTTTTACTAATGTGGAACCATGGATAGAAACATTGCTTTCTTTTTATATTCTGTTCCTTTTTCTAATTACATATCATTTCTCTTACAGTGATAGTTAAATCTCATTATATTTAATGATTTATCCATTTTTTGCTATAACAGTTTTATCAGTGACTCCTTGTGTTATAATCTCATTATTTCACAAAATTATGTCCTATTTGTTAAGAATAGTAACTGTTACAATGATTTTATCTTTCTCAATGCCCTTTTTAATGTCAATGTCTTAGACCTCTTTGTGAAAAGATTAAACACTTTTCTCTTCATTTAGTCTAATTCTGTTCAATGTTGCTTATATTATATAGTGTCTTTCACTGTATCCTGCCATTTTATTTAAAGAATTTAATTCTGGATAGGCATGGTGGCTCATCCTTGCAATCCCAGTGCTTTGGGAAGCCAAGGCAGGAGGATTGCTTGAGTCCCGGAGTTCAAGACCAGCCTTGTCAGCAAAGCAAGATCCCCATCTCTACAAAAAGGAAAATTAAAAAATTAACCAAGTGTGGTGGTGGGCACCTGTAGTCCCAGCTACTCAGGAGGCTGAGGCAGAAGAATGCCTAAGGCCCAGGATTTCGAGGCTACAGTGAGCTATGATCATGCCACTGCACTCCAGCCTAGTAGACAGAGGAAAAGCCCACTTTAGGAATAAAAAAATAAAAGAATTTAGTTCTGTGTCTGAATTGTGTGTTTCATTTCTACAGCTCTATTTCTTTGAATAAGACAGAAAACATGTACCGAAGAAATCTAAACTACCAAATTTGTCTTTCTTTTACAGCATACTATTCCTGGAATAAAATACTGAATCTTGGTTCCTTAATTTTGATTGAATATATTTCTTTCTGGGATTGATTTTTTTTACTTCCTAATTGAAAAACAGTAGATACAGGGAAGTTATAAAGTGTTCAACTAAGTCCCTAGACGCATGTTGAAAATACAAATAACAGCTGAGCGTAGTGGCTCAGGCCTGTAATCTCAGCGCTTTGGGAGGCTGAGATGGGTGGATCGACTGAGGTCAGGTGTTTGAGACCACCCTGGCCAACATGGTGAAACCCCACCTCTACTAAAAATACAAAAATTAGCCAGGCATAGCGTTGCATGCCTATAATCCCAGCTACTTGGGAGGCTGAGGCAGAAAAATCACTTGAACCCAGGAGGCAGAGGTTGCAGTGAGCCGAGATTGAGCCATTTCACTGCAGCCTGGGTGACAAAGCCTAAAAAAAAAAAAAAAAAAAAAAAAAAAGAAAGAAAATAAATTTTACCCCAATGTATTAATGCAAAAACTGTTCTAAAGCCAAGGGATTAATTGTGTTTTCTTTTCTTTTCTTTTTTTTTTTTTTTTTTTTTGAGACGGAGTTTCGCTCTTGTTACCCAGGCTGGAGTGCAATGGCGCGATCTCGGCTCACCGCAACCTCCGCCTCCTGGGTTCAGGCAATTCTCCTGCCTCAGCCTCCTGAGTACCTGGGATTACAGGCACGTGCCACCATGCCCAGCTAATTTTTTGTATTTTGAGTAGAGACGGGGTTTCACCATGTTGACCAGGATGGTCTCGATCTCTTGACCTCGTGATCCACCCGCCTCAGCCTCCCAAAGTGCTGGGATTACGGGCTTGAGCCACCGCGCCCGGCTGATTAATTGTGTTTTCTGAAGCACTCCTTCCTTCCCCAGGACAAGGTAGGCTTTTTCTTTTTTGAGAGGGTCTTGCCCTTTTGCCCAGGTTGGAGTACACTGGCATAGCTCACTGTAGTGAGCCTTGAACTCCTGGGTTCAAGTGATCCTCCTGCCTCAGCCTCTCAAGTAGCTGGGACTACAGTCACGTGTCATCACACTCAGCTAATTTTTAAAGTTTTTTGAGGAGTCATGGTCATGTTATGTTGCCCAGTCTGGTCTCCGACTCCCAGCCTCAAGCAATCCTCCTGTCTTGGCCTCCCAAAGTGTTGGGCTTACAGGCACGAGCCTCTCAACTAGCCCCAGTTTTGAACATAGAAAGTTTCAAAAGTGTATGTTTGTGTGTGTGTATGTGTATGCGTGAGCACGCACGTGCGTGTGTTAATTACATAAAGAATGTTATGATCCCAATCAACAAACCACCGGTCCCAAAAACGGCCAGTTTTATGTCATTTTTTAAACTCACCGTGCTACTTACTGCTGCCTGATTTTCCTTAGTTCAGCTAAAGACGGGATCCTTTTCTGTCCCACGGCCATG